ATTAATTAGAATTTCAGTGGTTTTTATAGTCTTGTTTGTGTTTCATTTGTATATCTGTTAGGATTTATGATTATACAAGAGCTATGAGCTTGTATATTTTATGTATAGAGCTTGTATACAAGCTCTATAAGCCTGTATATTTTATGCTTTTTTTATTTAAAGATCTATCTAAATAACATGATAAAAATGATTTCACTCAATCCTTGGGAATACAAGAATAGTTTTCCTTTCTATATATTCAAGTTTGGAGACCCACTAGCCTGGATTGTGTTTGGAAGGCAAGACCAAGGCCCACCTGTAGCACAGCACCACTTCCCTCATCACAGACAGGAATCAAATGCAGATCCGGACCAAAACTCCAGCTCAGAGCATCCTCTGTGCTGTACACCCACCATCACTTTTCACTAGCGTATCACTAGCACAGGAAGGTGGTCAGGCAGCCAGCAATTCAGGATCCTAGCCCTCTCACTTTCCTCAGAGACACAACCAGCAAACAAGGTACACACATACATGAAATTACTCAAGGTTAGACACTTCCCTCACCTTGACAAACCCACAGTTAAATTCAGTCTTCATCTTACGAGATGTCTCAACAGACCTCTCAGTTCCATATAATAACTCTCCTGGAGATACTGCACCCAATTGTTTCCCAATACTCTCCTGACCTCCCTTCCACATCACTAACTGCTTCTCTTCTGTCTCCTATGTTGGCTCTTCCTGTTCCTGACCTCAAACTGTTGCAATGGTCCAGGACTCAGTCTCCAGAGCAGGTCTTATATGCCCTCTACCTAGGGGACCTCGCCCAACAAAAAGCTTTAAATATATAATGTTGACAATGTACGTCTCTAACCTGACATCTCTCCAAGATTTACACGACTGCTACTTGCTGTATCCACCTAGCTGTTTCTACGGGACCTCAAATACCCAAACCAAGCACTCTTACTCACTCACACTCCAGCTCTCACAGGTATTAGCCCTAGAAGTATTCCTCAGTAAACTTTTTGCACATGAATCTGAGTATCACAGGCAGCTATCATGGGACACAACACTGACAGCTGGCACCAGAAGTGGTCTTAGGAAGCAGACTCCACATGATACACCATCATGGGGGGTAGATGGTGAACTGTTATAGGAAGAGAATGCATTGGCTGATGACCTCAGCTTTTGATAAATTCAGGAGAAATACCAATTACTAGTACTATGGAATTGGATAGATGTTACTGTAGGCCATCAATGCATTGGCAATAATACAGCACCAAAACTGTGGTATAAATATACAATGGAATGTTATTCACGCTTAAAAAGTAAAGATTCTGATGTCTTCTACAACATGGATGAACTCTGAGGATATGACACCAAGTGAAATAAGCTAATCACAAAAAGACAGATACTACATGATTTCACTTACATGAAGTACCTGGTCAAAATCATAGACACAGAGAGTAGAAAGATGGTTGCCAAGGGCTAGAGGGAGGGAGGAATGAGAAGTTTTTAATGGGCATAAAATTTTCATTTCACCAGATGAAAAGAGTTATGGAGACAGATGCTTGCACGACATTATGAATCTGTTTAATACCAATGAACTCTATACTTAAAAATGATTATGAGGATAAATATTATGCTATATGCATTTTTTAAAGATTTTACTTACTCATGAGAGACAGAGAGGGGCAGAGACATAGGCAGAGGGAGAAGAAGCAGGCTCCCTGCGGGGAGCCCATTATGGGACTTGATCCCAGGACCCTGGAATCACAACCTGAACAAAAGGCAGACGCTCAGCAATGGAGCTACCCAGGTGCCCTATGTCATATGTATTTTACCACAACAAAATAATTGGAGAAAAATCACATCCTAAAATAAATAGCACAGATTGGTACTTAATAGACTCACTAAAGAATTCAAAAGTGGAAGTGTCCATTGTCTAATTCACTATGCCGAGTCCTACAAAAACTTAGGTAGATCACAGTGGAGGATGACAGCGGACTAATTCAAACTCAACCAAGCAGCAGAGGAGTCAATTGCAGGCTTTGGATCCAGATGTGGTATCTTTATAAGAGCAGATTAACACAGCCTCAGGGACACTGATCTGATGAATGCATTGTTTTCCATTTACTAAGAAGGAGAACCAGAAGCAGTTGGCATTCCCATGGCATAGGCAATAATATATGTTTAAATCTCCTGCCCTCTGTCACAGAGGGACCTGGTCCATCTACACATTCACTATATTGGTAACATCACATTAATTTGACTAGATGAACAAGAAATAGCAATTGGGGGTGGTGATGAGGGGTGAATCAGTTAAGTGTCCAACTCTTGCTTTCCACTCAGGTTTTGATCTTGGGATCCCAAGATCAAGCCCCGCACTGGGCTCTGAGCTGAATGCAAGGACTGCTTGGGACTCTCTCTCCCTCTCCCTCTGCTCCTCACCCCCACACACTCTCTCTTCCTCTAAAAATAAATAAGTGAATCTTTAAAAAATAATAATAATTCTCTTATTTTAAAAAAGTAGCAATAGGTTGGAAGCATTGGTAAAATACATGTATTCCAGAAGGTGGGAGATAATAGAGTCCATGAGGATTCAGGGATCTACCACATGAATTAATTAATTTCCAGGACCAGTAGACTGAAGGATGTCAGGACATATCCCTACCACCACTGAAAATAAAGGGCAAATGGTTGTATCTCATACTCATCTAGGAAGGAAACACGTACCTGAAAGAGGCCTCTTCGAGTTCTGGAAGTAAAATTTTTCAAAATTAAGAAAACTTTTGTGACCCATTTCTGAGGAACAAGAAATGTTAACACCTCTCAATAGGGACATAGTTGGAAAGAGCTCTTCAGCAGATCCAAGTCATGTAGCAAGCAGCCCTGCCTCTTGGGCCACCTGACCCAGTAGATTCTGTGGTATTGCAAGTACCAAAGGCAGAAAAGATGTGATGTGGGGTTTATAACAAATTCTCTCAAAAGGAGAATCTACCGCAGAAAACTGTGGCAGTTCCTGGTATGCTAGGGGGCCGTGAAAGAAACAGAGTGCTGAAACCTAGGACATCAAATGACATACAGCCGGATTGCCTATCTTGAGTTAGGCAAACCCACCAAGTTATAAGTTTTGGTGATTGCAGCAGCAAACCATATGATGGAACAGTATATCTGAGATCAAGCACAAGCGGAATCTGAGCACAAGCAAGCCCCACACACAAAGAGCCAAGCAAAGTTCCACACCCCATCACTGTTAGACCATTATCTCTCCCCAAACTCACACCTATAACTACATGGAGATTCGGTATGACCAGCTGACCAGGACTAAATGGGATGAGCTTGATTCATGGACACGTTTCTTAGTATGTGAGTGCAAACTGCAAAAGGCCCGTTAGGCACTGCTTGGCACTACTCAGGAATAATCCTGAAAGGTAGCAGTGAGAGGAAATCTACTCAGTGAAAAGAATTTCAATTACTGCACCTGAATATTCGCTTTATGAAAAAGAGAAGTGGCAAGGGATAACAATGTAAATAGGCTCATGGCTAGTAGTAATGCTTGGTCACATGGCCAGTAGCCTGGAAGCAAAAAAAGACTAGAAATCAGAGACAAAGAGGTATGGGGGATATGTACAAAGGGGGATCTATGGGAGTGGACACCAAGCAAAAATAGATTTACGTTGTATAGTTACTACCAAGGCAGAGGTACGGAACAACCAAGTAGACGGAATGACCCAGCCAGATGAAGTCAGCCAGGCTCTCTCGGTGGACACCATGAACACCCGGGCTTACGCAGTGCTATCATATGGAGTGGCCAAACAGCATGGACTCCCGCTCCCCAGACCTAATAGAGCTGCTGCTGCTGCCAAATGCCCAACTTAGTAGCATCAGAGACTAATACTGGGCCACCGACATAACATCATCCCTTCAGGAAACCCACCAGCCACTGAGCATCAAGTTAATGACTCTGAAACTATCCCACCCTGAAAGGTGCAGTGTTTCATCTTGACATATATCTTAGGTATGTGTCTGCCTCACTTGCCTGCAGGGCCTCAGCCAGCAGGACAATCCAGTAGCTAAAGAGTATGTGGTCTTTTGACATAAGGTCACACATTACATCACGTTGGGCCGAAGGTCTTACTATAGAGCAAGGGGCTGTATAATAAGTAGAAGTTCCACTAGTCCTACCACGTACAGGAATTTCCTGAGCCCTGGGAACATTACGGATTCCTAACTGCACACGCTGGCCAGTAGAGAGCTGAACCAAGTGGGATGACCTGAGGACTGTCCGGCACTGACAGAGGGGAAATATAATAATTGCTTTTCTTGATATCTTGAAACTTTCACCTAACAGTTCTTAAATAATCAAGCCAAGACTGGTCCAGAGAAGGAAGACATCCCTAATTTACATAAAGCACTAAGTCAATCAGTCAGTCCGTCAGGTCTGATTCCCCTTAGACCTTGGTGTCCGTGTCAGAAAGAGCATCTGAGGATCCCTCTGTGCCTGTCTTCTGTACAAGACCCTGACGCAGGAACCCAGGCCGCGAACATCCCGCGAAAAGAGCAAGTCTCTTCGCTCAGGAGTTCACAAAGGCCAACTGACATGGCCCCTGAAATTCTGAGCGGGTTCAGTAGATGGCGAGTCTCCAGAAACCCACTCAGCGTCTCCCAAAGAGCCGAGGAGAAGGCTCTGGTCTTTGTGGAAAGTGACTGTTTTAAGAAGGCAGGATGGGAGGCCCGGGTGGCTGCCTTTGACTCAGGTCGTGACCCCCAGTCCTGGGATGTGGGGCTCCCGCAGGGGGCCTGCCTCCCCCTCTGTGTCCCTGCCTCTCTCTGCGTGTCTCTCATGAATAAATAAAATGTCAAAAAAAAAAAAAAGGAGGCTGAGAACGTGTTTCGCTGGGGTGCACTGCTGTCCTTTGCGGCGCCTCTCAGAAGAGATCGCCACGCTTACAAGGCGGTTCTGTGAACGACTTCTCGGCACAGCTCCCCACGCTCCCGGGCCGCGCCCCTCGGTCACTCACAGCCCCAGAGTTCACACCAAACGAGGAGCTCCAGTTTCTCAGCCCCTCCTGGAGCTCGACAATGTCCACCAAGCCGTCCCCGTCGCGGTCCAGGTCTTGGAAGAGGGTCTTGTAGCCGAAGGAGTCCTCGTCCTCCTGGCAGGCCACCGTGGGCAGCACGAAGCCCCGCAGCCAGCGCTGCATGGTCCGGCCGGCCCGCGGGGTCCAGCCCCGCCCCGGCCCCGCCCAGCCCCCGCCCCGGCCCCGCCCCGCCCCGCCCCCGCCCCGGGCCCTCTCAGGCCCCGCCCCGCCCCCAGGCCCCGCCCCCGCCCCGCCGCCTAGCGGAGCTGCTGGAGTCAGACCGTCCGCGCGCCCGGGCGGCCGACGCAACGGCCCGACGGGGCCTGGGGCGAGCGGGCCCGCGCGCTGGGCACGGGCGCCCTCCGGAGGCCCTCGGAAGGCCCGCCTCGTGCCAGCCGGGTCCCCGCCTCGCCACGGGCGCCGCGCTCCGCAGCTGGAAGCCGAGGCGCCGGAGCTCCCGGGCCACCTGCGCTCGCTCCCGGGCCACCCGCGCTCGCTCCCGGGCCACCCACGCTCGCTCCCGGGCCACCCGCGCTCGCTCCCGGGCCCACCCGCGCTCGCTCCCGGGCCCACCGGCGCTTGCTCCCTGGCCCACCTGCGCTCGCTCCCGGGCCCACCGGCCCTCGCTCCCCGCCCCACCGGCCCTCGCTCCCGGCCCCACCAGCCCTCGCTCCCGGCCCCACCGGCCCTCGCTCCCGGGCCCCCCGGCGCTCGCTCCGGGCCCCACCGGCCCTCGCTCCCGGGCCCACCGGAGCTCGCTCCCGGGCCCACCTGAGCTCGCTCCCGGGCCACCTGCGCTCGCTCCCGGGCCCATCGGCCCTCGCTCCCGGGCCACCTGCGCTCGTTCCCGGGCTCACCGGCGCTCGCTCCCTGGCCCGCCGGCGCTCGCTCCGGGGCTCACCTGCGCTGGGCCGGCGCGGAAGAGCCCCCGGGGTCTCCGGGCACGGAGCGGCCAGCCGCGGCGGGTGAGCGGCCGGGGCGGAGGGAGCCTCCCGCGGCGGCGCCCCCTCCTCCCCTCCCGGGGCCTCCGCCCTCGCTCGGAGCCGCTTGCAGGGGACCTTGGGGATGTGTCCGGGCGCCCGCACCCCGCCTCGCCTCCCAGTCTCCTAGATCCCCTGCGGCCTCACCACGGCCTCCACTCCCCCGACAGAACTCCCTTGCACAAGACGCGAAGGACACTTTATGGTCCTGGTCCTGAATGCCGGTCCTGTTTAGATATCGCTGAGCACACTTGTCCTGCAGGACACGACACGGTGCTGCAGGCCTCAGCCTCGTTTACAGGCTCCCGCGGAGGAGCCGGAGACCTAAAATTGAGGCGCTGGAGCATTGTAGTAGACAGGGCCAAAGGATCATGTCAAACCTAGTTCTGGGATTTGTGGCACTGAAGCTTTGTGTCCTCAATCTCTGGTCACATCTTTTGAAAGTCAGTGGCACAGTCTAATGGCAGTCCCAAACCAGTAAGATTTTATTTATTTTTTCATCTTCATAGATTGGAACTCAATATTGTTAAGAATCAGTTCTCTCCAATTTGATCTAAAGATGCAGTGTAATCCCAATCTAAACCCCAGCAGGCTTTTCCGTACAAACTGACAAACTGATTCTATAATGGAGGGGCGCCTGGGTGGTTCAGTCAGTTAAGTGTCCAACTCTCGATTTTAGCTCAGGTCATGAGATTGAGCTTCACATCCCTACATCAGGCCACATGCCTAAGATTCTCTCTCTCCTTCTGCCCCTTCCTGCTCCCACTCAGGTGCACCTGCACTCTCTGGCGCTAAAAATTAATTGGTTAATTAACTAATTAATTAATTGCATTTATATAGGAATGCAAAAGATGAGTAGCTAAAACCATTTTGAAAAATAATAAGTTTCAGAGACTAGATAAATAAACCTACACGTATGTGATCAATTGATTTTCAACAATGATGTCAGGCTAATTCAATGGGGAAAAGATAGTCTTCAACAAATCCTACTGGAAGAGTAGGATATGCATAAGAAAAAATGTGAAACTTGAAAAAACATTGTTAATAGGCAAGACAGGGGTGCCTGGGTGGCTCAGTCAGTTAAGCATCTGCCTTCAGCTCAGGTCATGATCTCCAGCTCCTGGGATTGAGCCCCACATCAGGTTCCTCCCCAGCAGGGAGTCAGCTTCTACCTCTCCCTCTGCCCCTTCCCTGCTTGTGCTTACTCTCTCTCTCTCTTTCTCTCTCTCAAATAAAATCTTTATATAAAAAAAAGAAAACAGGCAAGACAAAGTCTAAGAAGAAAATATTTTAGTACATATCTCTGACAAAGGACTTGTATCCACAATACTAAAGAACACTTAAAAAGTGTTACAGGGGATGCCTGGGTGGCTCAGCGGTTTAGCGCCTGCCTTTGGCCCAGGGCGCGATCCTGGACTCATGGGATCAAGTCCTGGACTCACGGGATCAAGTCCCGCGTCGGGCTCCCGTCATGGAACCTGCTTGTTCCTCTGCCTGTGTCTCTGCCTCTCTCTGCGTGTGTCTATCATAAATAAATAAATAAATAAATCTTAAAAAAAAAAGTGTTACAAACAACCCATTTTTTTAAAAATGGGCAAAAAACTCTGAACAGACATTTCACAAAAGAAAATATCTGAACCGCCAATAAGCACATGAAATGTTACTTGAAATCTTTACTCAATACAGAAATGTGAATCAAAACCACAACGAGATACCACTGCATAGCCTCTAGAATGGATAAAATTTAAAATACTAACGATGTCAGGTGTTGCTGAGAGTATAGAACAACCGAAACTAATATATTGCTGATGTAGGAATGCAGGGTAGTATAATCAGAAAACAGTTTAGTATTTTCTCATAAACTGAACATAAACTAGCAATTCTATCTCTAGGCTTTTACTTTAATGAAATGAAAAAAATGTGCCCAAGAAAAAGACTAATGTTTACAGCAGCTTTATTTTTAATGGCCAAAAACTAGAAGTAAACCTTCAGAAAACAGAGAAGGTAAGTGGATAACAAAAAGGTGGTATATCCATGCAAAGGAATATTATTTAGCAATAAAAAGGAATGAAATCCCGATGCACACAACATGGATAAAACTTAAAAACATTATGTGAAAGAATGGAAGTCAGAATGTGATAATAGTTACATAAATACATAAGTGTATACTTTTATCAAAATTCATCACACTGAACACAAAATGAGTGCATTTTATTAGGTATAAATATGCCTCCACAAAGTTGAATTTTAAAAGTTTTGCAACTAGCTATTACTGTCTAAATATTGTAGAATATTTTCCCATACGTATGTATTCTTTATAATTTGGGTAAATTATAGATATAAAGGGAGAGTGTAGTTAGAATGTAATCAAATTGTTCACCAGGAAAAAGAATTGCATTTATCATATTATGGTCATTAATGTTTCTGTCTTACTACTTGATGCCAAGAACAGAATATTATTCAATTTCCCCAGAATTTAGCAGAGTTCCAGAAAGATAAAAAAAACTTCAGTAATTGTTTAAAGTGTGTAATTATTAAATCTGAACAAGACTAGACTCTCCAGAGGGATTTTAATCCCATTGACCTATATATACCCAACTTCTTCTAGGATATAGGGTGTGTTTGGTGAGGGGAAACTTAGAATTTATCCATACTTTTGTTTTATTTTGTTTCATTTTTTTTCATCTCTCTGACTCTTTCTTAACTTCACCCAACCATAAGATTAAACATAGGGCTGAAAGTACTAGAAGGTGTTGACTCAGACACACTTGATCTCGAATTCCAGCTCTACCACATACCACTCATGCAACCTTAGGCAAATTACTTTTCTAAAACTCAGTTTTCTCACTCATAAAACAAATTTCATAATTATACCTACCTTGTAGGATCATTATTAAAGTTTAAAAAAACAAGGTGTAAAGTGCTTATAACTGGCCCATTGTAAACATTTAAAAGTTTGCTGTTTCTACTTTTTTTTTCTACTTTCTTGATTAGAAGTCCTATCCTTGTTACTGAGCTCACCAAAAATAAAAATTGACAAGAGGCCTAACAGCCGGTCCAGGCAAAGCTTTCCTGGAACTTATATTCCAGCACAAGGGAAAGTATCCTCAGGCTGGCTCTTTAGAGAGAGGTCAGGGACAGTTTTAAAGAGATCACAGGGGTGAGGGGGGTGGGGTGGGGAGGTGGCATAAGCATGTAGAGATGGGGACCTAACAGTGCCTGCTCACCTAAAGATCATATTTTTTCATACATTGCATGTCTAATCATAGCATGTTAAATCTCTACCCCTAGGCAAGTTTTTAAGATTATAATGAGGGGAAAAGTCAGTGAAAGGTCAGTGCTGGGGGTCCCTTGTGGCTCAGGCTTGGTTTGGTCTGGTTCTCACAGGAGCAAACTGGTTGTAAGCTGGAGTGTGGGGCTTGTTTGGTGCTGTGGTAGCATCTGGCTTTCTGATGGCAAGCAGCACCTGTAAAAGGGCTACTGTGGTTTTTTTATGAGCATTTCAGGGTGAGGGGCTTGAGTCTGGTCCCTGCTCTATCTCATAGCAAGCAATATAGAAAATTTCTTAATGGGCTCTTTTGGTGTAAAAGTATCAATTAGTTTTTTAAGAATCACTGGGGGGGCACCTGCTGACTCAGTCAGTTGAGCATCCAACCCTTGGTTTTGGCTCAGTCATAATCTCAGGGTGGTGAGATCAAGCCCTGCCCTGGGGATCCACGCTCAGCGTAGAGCCTACTTGAGGATTCTCTCTCTCCCTCTGCCTCTCCCTCCTCTCATGGGTGTGCTTGTGCTCTCTCTCTCTCAAATAAATAATATATTTTTTAAAAAAATCACTTGGAAGTTGTGGCAGATACTTTGGACTGGTACGTCAACCTTCCTTCTGCATTTCTGTTGGAAGACTACAGAATGCTCAAAAGTATTTCTAAACTCCTTTGAAGCTAGTTTTCTGTAAGAAAATTAGATTCCCTCCAAAAACCTTACATAGTATTTGGAAAGAGGAAGTAAGACAGCTTCCTTTTGCTGTTTCAGCCATCATGCAGGACCATGAATGTTGGGGTTTAGGTCAGTATTTGTGCCTGGACTCAGTATTCCAATGCTTATTTGCCAATTTTATGCATATCTTGAGGCAGATTTGACAGCGGT